TGGCTGAGCACTACAGAGGCAAGTCCCTCCCCTCGTTCCTCACTGGCTGAGCACTACAGAGGCAAGTCCCTCCCCTCGTTGGCTGAGTACTACAGAGGCAAGTCCCTCCCCTGGTTCCTCATTGGCTGAGTACTGCAGAGGTTGCAGCCTTACTGGTAGTCGCCTATGTCCACGTAAGGCAAAAAGTCTGATTGGAACGCATGTACATTCCCAGAGGTGACACAGAGACTTCAGTCCTTTGGCGCGTGCTCATTGCAAAGCCCGCGAAAAATAAGCCCGCGAAACTCAGAGGGGACGAGGAACCTGGAAGTGAAGTGTCTAAGGGTTTGGGACTCCATTGTGGGGGAGGGGGTTCGGACATATTTCCAATAGGTTGTAAAACTACTGTCAATTAGACAGCACAGCTTTTATTTGGTATTTCTGAAAATGAATCATCTCCCTTACTTCTCGCATCAGGGACCTAGACTCAGTCTTGTTGCTCTGCCATTTTCAATGTCAAACTAACATTTGACGGCTTAACAGTGGCCGTTCCAGCCCCGACCAATAGGATGGCCTTTCGGCCAGTAGGAAGTGGGAAGGGGAGGTGGATGGCAGACCCCTTCCCTTTGAGGGAGTGGTCTAGAAGCAGAATTTATCGCGTCTGTGAGAAGTGCCTCCTCGGTAAGATCTTGGCCATCTTCTGCTGCAAGGGAGCTTGGGAAATATGGCCTTTGTCTGGGTGAATGTGCACTCAGCTAACACCTGTGGGCTGTGGGCTTTGTTACAAAAAGAAGTCTGACCGGATGGCTATGGGGGACAAATCACAGTGCAGTGACTGATTAGGAAGTGGCAGTCACAGAGAAGTTTTTGTTTTTGCTCCCGGGTAGGGAGACGTTTTGTGTTCCAGACCCACTGTGCCTCTGTAGGAGCCCTAGTTATGTCAAAGCTCGGAAAGTTTCTACGCACTCTGGGCTTCAGTTTTTTCATTTGCTAAATGAGAAGTTTGAGCTCACGTTTCCAGGGTCACACAGTGAATGACCAGAGAAAGAAAGAAAAGGAAAGGAGAGAAAAGGAAAGAAAAACAAATCCCATGTCCGTACTCCCTGTCCCAGTGAGGTGGGAACAAAATCCAGTCCTCTCAGACTTGGACTGGCTCTGATTTCAACTTTCCCCTATTTTATATATGGGAAACTGAGGCACTGAGCGGGGAAAGGAATCGCCCCTGCGTGAGAACCGCTGAGCTTGGGAGACACTTAGGACCTAGCGTCGTCCCTAAGAGCAACATGAACATTGCAGTCGAGATCTGAATCTGGCGTCTGACAGTGCTGGAACTTTCTAGGTGTGTGGCTCTGGACAAGGGGCTGAATCTGTGCCTCAGTTTCCCTATCTGTGAAGCGCGGGCCCATTAGAGGGCTCCATGGCTGAGGGCTCAGACACGGGAGCTGACGTGGTCGCTTGCTGTTGTCTCTGTGTGGCTGCAGGCATCACCGCCATGGCGTGGAGCGTGGAAGAGAGGCTGCTGGTTGTCGGCACCCAGGATGGCACCGTGGCTGTGTGGGACACGGAAGAACATCAGGTGATCCATATGCACATGGGACACACAGGTGAGGCCTGGAAAGTGGGCTTTGTCAACTTCGTCATCAAGATAGATAAGGTTTCGGGGCGCCTGTGTGGCTCAGTTGGTTTGAACATCCAACTTCGGCTCAGGTCACGATCTCGCGGTTTGTGGGTTCGAGCCCCGCCTCGGGCTCTGTGCTGATGGCTCAGAGCCTGGAGCCTGCTTCGGATTCTGTGTCTCCCTCTCTCTCAGCCCCTCCCCTGCTCACGCTCTGTCTCTCTTTCTCTCAAAAATAAATAAGGATAAAACAAAAATTTTTAAAGATAAATAAGATTTCAATGGAATATTTTTAAAAATCAAAATTAATGCAAAAAAAAATCCACCATGAATAAATATCAAGCTGTCTTAAAGACAGGATTGGCAAGAGCACTGTGCCAAGCCATATGGGAGCCAAGGGCAAAACGGAAGCTCGGTAATTTGGCACCTCCTTAAATTTGGCACCCAAAATGAGTGCCTCGCTCACCTTACCTTAACACTGGCCCGAGTCAGACTCAGGCATTTGGGAAGGCAAAATATAGTTATGCATGGTAATCAGGGCAACAGGATGTCTGAGCAGCAGTCCAAGTGACCGACTTAGGACAGTTAGGTAAAGCATTTCTCCCAGCTGGGGATGCTTCGGCCAAGACAAAAAGGGCGTGAAGAAAGAAGCGTGCAAAGGGCAGGGACAGGGGAGGGAGGCTGGTGTGTTTACAGAACAGCAAGGTCGGCAGGAGGCTGGAGCTTGAGACATTATAGCAAATCAAAGAAGCCAGTCACAAAAGCCCACAGTCAGTATGATTTGTTTATACAAAATGTCCAGAACAGGCAGATCTAGAGAGACACAAAACAGATTAGTTGTTGCTGGTTGGGGAGGGAGGAATGGGAAGTGATTGCTCATGAGGACGGGGGTTCCTTTTGGGGGTGATGGAAATGTTCCGGAATCAGATAGGGGTGACGGTTGCACAGCATTGCGAATGTGTTAGATGCCAATGAATTACTCGCCTCCAAATGGTTTAAACGACAAGGAGAGAAAGGGGGAGGGAATGCCAACTTTTTGAGGTTTTGAAAACACTCTGAATGTAGACTGTGGTGATGGTGTCACAGCTCTGTGACCACACAAAGACCAACGAATTGTACCGTCATACATGGGATGGGGGAATTTCATGCTCGTGAATTATATCTCAATAAAGATGTTAAAATTATTTTATCATTATGGAGCTTCTGGGTGGCTCAGTCTGTTGAGCAACCGACTCTTGATTTGGACTCAGGTCATGATCCGAGGGTCGGGGGATCGAGCCCTGAGTCAGGCTCTGCATTGAGCATGGAGCCTGCTTAAGATTCTTTTTCTCTCTCTGCCCTTCCTTCACTTGCACACTCACTCTCTCCCTCTCTCTCTCTCTCTCTCTCATATAAAAGATATATGTCACTGCAATTTAAGTATGTACAGTTTTATAATTTTTTCTCAACATTTTGCCATAACCAATCTTTTATTTCCATTGAATCTTTTTTTTTTAAAAACAACTTTATTGAGGTGTAATTGACATACCATTTCACCTGTTTTAAGTGTAATGCAACAATTTTTAGATTTACTGAGTTGTACAACCATCACCCTAATGCTAGAACTTTCCATCACCCCAAGGAGTCCTCTCTGCATGGCTCGCCCTCTGTGGAGTACATCTCCACTCTCACGCCCAGCCCCATGGCAACCACCCATGTGCTTCCTGGATCTATCAACTTTCTGGTGCTGGACATTCGATGTAGAAGGAACAGTATCCATATCAGTCGGAGGGCATTTACATTGTTTCCAACTTGAGGCTGTTAGGAATCTTGCTGTTGTGATCCATCCATTGTCACATTTATCATGTTTAAATGCAGCAAAATATTTCATTCTTCTCAACAGATTGTGTTCCAGAATGTATTAAATGATTTTTAAAAATTTTTTTATTTTAACTTGTTTTATTTTTTATTATTATCTTATTATTTTTTTAATGTTCATTTATTTTTGACAGAGAGAGAGGGCATGAGCGGGGGAGGGGAAGAGAGCGAGGAAGACACAGAATCTGAAACAGGCTTCAGGCTCTGAGCTGTCAGCACAGAGCCTGACGCGGGGCTTGAACTCACGGACCCCGAGATCATGACCTGAGCCGAAGTCAGATTCTCAACCAACTGAGCCACCCAGGCGCCCCTTTTTTTTATAAATTGACATCCAAATTAGTTAGCATATAGTGCAACAATGATTTCAGGAGTAGATTCCTTAGTGCCCCTTACCCATTTAGCCCATCCCCCCTCCCACAACCCCTCCTGTAACCCTCAGTTTGTTCTCCATATTTATGAGTCTCTTCTGTTTTGTCCCCCTCCCTGTTTTTATATTATTTTTGTTTCCCTTCCCTTATGTTCATCC